GGTCTGCTTTGGGTCTTCTGCATTCTGTGTTAGCATGTTCCATCAGACCAGTTACTAGAATGAGAAACTCAGCAGTGCCAAGTACAGGGAATAACTGTGGCTCTCCAAGCTTCAGGGAGGGGAGGGTCAGTGGCTCCCTTTCCACCTGTCCCGCAGCAGATGAGTGGGGCAGGGGTTGGTGAAGGGGCTGCCCCACAGGAGAGGAGCGTGGGTGGGGACTGGGAAGAACCTCAGCTCTAGCCCCGCCCTTTGCTCTTTTGGACAGGCTGTTCTCAGGATGAGGGCGTTTCCCGCACCCGCGTCTTGCGTTTCTGAAGGCCATAGACGGATGCCTCAGGTTTGGGGTGGGTGCAATCAGTTCAGGAGGGGCTCTCATTCATTGATTCAGTGCGTTCAAGAAGTATTTGATTGTTGACTTTTCAGCCTGCTGAATGCTAGGCGTTGCCCTCGCTGGCAGGAGCACAGCACTGAACAGACAAAAGGCCTTGCCTTTGTGAAGAATTTGGTGGAGGAATCTGACAAGCAATGAAACCGCTAAGATGGACAATGTTGAAGCTGTGTAGAGATCTTTGTGAGGGGGGAGATGGGAGGGACTCGGAGATGTCGGAGTGAGTACAACTATGGCCCTGGTGAGGGAAGACCTGGCTGAGAGGGTGGCCTTGTGCAGACCCCCAATGCAGTGAGGAGCAGTTGATGCATCTGTGGCAGGAACACTCTAGAGGGAGGAGACAACAGCTGCTCCAGAGCTTATCTGGAACACTTAGGGAGCAGCAAGGAGGCTGCTATGCCCGGAGCAGGGGGTGTGGGGGATGGGCACAGGGAGCCTGGAGCAGGGGGCGTGGGGAATGGGCACAGGGAGCCTGGAGCAGGGGGCATGGGAGATGGGCACAGGGAGCCCTGAGCAGGGGGTGTGGGGGATGGGCACAGGGAGCCCTGAGCAGGGGGCGTGGGGGATGGGCACAGGGAGCCTGGAGGCCTGCCAAGTGCCGATCCTCTGGTTCCTCTGAAGAACCTTGTTGTTGGAAGGACTTCTTTGGTTGGAAGCCGTGGGAAGGTCTGTGCAGACGATTGATAGCATCTGACTTTATAGCAGCTTCGTGTGGCTCCTGTGTGGTAGGCCTCAATTAGGGGCCATGTACCAGAGTGGTAGCACAGATGTGAGAGAAGAGATCAGATTCTGGAAGTATTTGAAGGTAGCGCCAACAAGGTTGTTGATAGGACAGGGAAAAAAGTGAAGAATGTCTCTAAGGTGTGGGCCTGAGTGAGGAGCCGTGGAATCGCCCGCCAGGTGTGGATGGTGGAGGAGGGGCACGTTGCAGTCGAGAGCTCAGTTTGGGACGTATTTGCCGTGCAAGTTCTGAACAGGGTGCCGAGCAGGCATGCAGACGTAGGTGTCTCAGGTTAAAGAAGTGCGTGCTGACAAGACAGCCGGGGGGCTTGTCAGTGGGACGCTGCTGTTCAGAGCCGTGAGACTAGCTGAGCTCCACGGGGGGCAGGTGTGAACAGTGAAGAGATGCCGAGACCTAGCCGTGAACCGTGCATGGTAAGCGCTGAGGCAGCTGAGAAATGCCAACATGAAGGCTGGAACAAGCAGCTGGGGCGGGCGGGGGAACAGGAGAGAGCGTGGGAGAAAGGAGACCAGAGGAGGAGCCATCGCGGAAAGTGCTGGTGGGGTGAGGCGCGAGCCAGTGCGGAGGCCACTGCCGGCCCGGGGAGCACTGACCATAGTGGAGCAGTGAGGAGAATAGCCTGCTTGGACTGGGTTCAAGAGAGCATCGTCAGGAAAATGGGGACCGGAGTGTACTTGTGTGTGAGAAGTGACTGGACAGTAACTGGTAGGAGACAGGGAACGGAACTGAAAGAATGTGTTTTGTTGTAAAGTTATGAGTGAGACCATGTTTATTTGTAGCTGGGAACAATCCAGTTAGCAGGAGCCATCGATGTTATTAGGATGTTATTAGACCATCGATGTTATTATTATCACTGCATATACACCTGTTAACACATGTGAAGTTGGTGGTCCAACTAGGGGAGGTTGTGGCCATAGCCGGAGATGGGCAGCTCTTCCATACCAGTAGAAGTAGGAGGGAGAGTCGATTCCATGGGCCAGAGAGGAGAGGCAGGCAGGCGAGAGCTTGTGGGAGTTCGCAGGAATCCAGAACGCTGAAGATGGGGTAGCGGAGTTGGTGGCTTGAGGAGAGGAGAGGCTGGGAGGGGTCAGCCAGGGCACGGGGGACATGTGGCACTTAGATCAGTAGTCACGGTAAAGCTGTCTGTCCATCTGATTCCCACTCGGTCCCCAGCGCTGCCCATTCCTGGTTCCCGATCCACCAGCACCTTCCTAGTCGTCACCTGTGGCCCCGAGGGTTCTGTCCTCCTCGTGTCTCACGCGGCCAGAGTTCTCCAGGGCCAGACCGGCCAGCAGCCTCTGAAGGATCAGGGCAGGCCGAGTCACATAAAGGAAACGACATCCAAGCCACCAAAGGGTTCTGCGTGCCGGACGTGTGGAAGCTACGAGCCTGCTACGAGCCTGTAGACGGCACCGTGTGTCTCTCCTTGGACTCCTCGGGCTGTGTTAAGTGTTTCATTGTGTTGGACTGTGGTCAGCCCTGGCTCAGGTTTGTGGCCACTGTACTGTGTGTCACAGCGACTTTTCCTTTTTCCTTAATAAATGCAGAGCTGAAAGAGCGATCCATTATTACTTAGAATCCCCGTTAGCTTCTCAAGATTTTATCTCGAAGTGGTTAGAAGACTGCTGTGGTTTCCTTCTCACAACAAAGCGCTGGTCCTGGACGGCTTGGCCGAGAACTTCACTTCTTGTCCTGAACTGCAGTGTGAAGCCGGCGTTGGTGGTGCTTCTTGCTCTCTGTTTGCAGTCCTTCTGCTCTCCCCTTTGTGTTCCTTCCTCTGTCCACGCCTCCTCTCACCCAGGCCCCAGACCGCAGGGGCTGTCGCCACAACCTCGCTTCTCTCCTGACGGTTTTACGTCTCAGGCGCTTGCTTCCACCCCCTGATCTCCTCAGCCCTGCCATTGCTCCTGTCCTGAACCCTGGTTCAGTTAGAGTGCTGTGCATTGGCCTTTTACAAGGATGAGCAAGGCGAGAGTGCCGTGTTTCACCGACCGTCACGTGCTCCTCGCCCTCTGCTCCGTCTGGCTTGGCACTGCCACGTTTGTCTTCATCAGGCTCAGCCTCTCTGTTGACTGCACCCTGAAACTCCTCAGGCGCACAGGACTGGTCCCTGTCCCCGCATCAGGCTTCTCTTCCTGTCGCTACTCAGCCTCTGCTCTTGCGTCTTCCCCGCCACACGTGCCTGCCAGCACTCTGTGCCTAGATGGCCGTCTGCCAGTCAGCTAACGGGTGTTCCGAACTCTCCCGGTCACGACGAGGAAGCCGCTGGAGTGGCTCCTAAAGAACAAGGACTGCAGAGCAGGCTGCCTTGGCTCAGCCCAGCTCTGCTGATTCCCAGCTTACTTAGCCTCCGTGTGCCTCCATTGCTTCATGTGTGAAGTGGGAATTATAACAGCATGTACCTTATAGGATTTTGAGAATTAAATGGGTAAATATTCACGGAATGCTAAGAACAGTGGTTAGTGTTAATTTGTGGAAAGTGTTGTGCCAATAATTGGCCTTTACTTTATGCTACCTAAAATATTTTGCAGGGGTGAGGAGTGTCCAGCTCACAGCCCATATGAAGCCTGAGAAATCATTTGGTCTAGCCTTGCCACGGCAACCACAGGCAGGACTCAAAATTCAGTAAATCTATAGCAGGCTAATGCGGTTTTTTTTTTAAAATATTTATTTATTTTATTTGAAAGGCAGAATGAGTGAGAGAGAGAGATCTTCCATCTGCTGATTCACTCCCCAAAATAAGCACAGTAGCTAGGGCTGGATCAGCCCAGAGCCAGGAGCCTGGAGCTCCATCCAGGTTTCCCACACGGGTTGCTGGGGCCCAGGTACTTGGGCCATCATCCGTTCCCTTCCCAGGCGCACTGGCAGGGAACTGAATCAGAAACAGAGCAGCCAGAACTCACAGTGGCACTCCGATAAGGCATGCGAGTGTCACGGGGAGTGGCTTACCCTGCTGTACCGCCACACTGACCCCTCAGTTTTGATTTTTGAACTTGCTCATTCTTGATGGACTAAACAATCCAGTCATAAAAATGAGAAAATTCCTTCCGATTTCTGATGTTGGAGAAACCATCACAAAGCCAGTAGTGGCTGTGTGGGGCAGTTGAGCCTGTATTTAGTTCTCGGTGTAGCTGGGCGGGCGGGCGCGGAGTGACTGAGTCTGCACCCCTTGTGCGGGCCTGCTCTCAGTGGGCATGTTTGATAGAGGCCAGGTAGCATCACTGTGCGTGGCTGTGCTGCCATGCCCACCCGGAGCTCGCAGGGACGGGCGAGGCCGCAGAGCCATCCCGAGCCTCCCTGTGCCCTGTCCTTGAAAGCGGGCGTCCTTTCTAGCCCCGTAAGCCTAGGGTGGTGGAAGTTATGTCAGCGAGAGTGAGTCTTGTTTTTGAAGGCTCTTTGGTGAGGTTTGAAGACTGCTGGTCACACTGAGACATTGTCGTGGACAACAGCCTGTCACACAGATCTGCAGAGCCTCCACGTGTGTCCTGCCGTGTTTTCCCGGCAGCACTGGGGGGGCTTCTGTCATCCGTCTCTGCCGCCATATTTGGGAAGCCTTCAGGAGCCACCGGAGTCAGAACTCACGTTCCTGACAAGACTGGCACGCTGCGGCCCCGCCTTCTCAGCCTCTCCCCCTCCTCCTCCCTGCCCTCCCCCACCTGCCGGCTGCTTCCGTTGGGCCTATTCAGGAAGCGTTTTCCAGTCCTGCCTTGGTGTGTTGGTTCCACCACCTCCCAGCCTGGCCGGCTCCCCTCCTCTCTTGAGTCCTGGCGTGCGTGTCACTTTCTCAGAGAATCCTCCTTCCCTTCGCACCCCCCGGACTGCACTGTGTTACCCTTTGCCTCTGCGCTCACGTTCTCTTTCTTTTTCTAGCCACGTTCTGTCTGACTGTGGCAGGATGACAGACACAGAGCGAGACCAGATAGACCAGGACGCGCAGATCTTCATGAGGACCTGCTCGGAAGCAATTCAGCAGCTCAGGACAGACGGTAAATTGCTTTGCAGGATGCAAACAGACGGCCATGACTACGTCAAGTAGCTAGCAAGCTTCACGGGGCACAACCACTTAGGATTCCCTCTGTGTGCCCTTATTTTCGGGTTTCGAATTTAAAATCCTTTTCTGATCAGTGTTTCAGCGTAAGCTGTCCACAGTAATGAAAGGTCTTTACTGACGTCAAACAGATGGCAGAAGGGAGACAGGAAGTACCTTTCCCGGCAGAACCAGAAATCCGCCCAGAGTCAGAGCGTGTGTGTGTGTGTGTGTGTGTGTGAATCCTCCCAGAGCCAGAGTCAGTGTGTGTGTGTGTGTGTGTGTGTGTGTGTGTGTGTGTAAATCCTCCCAGAGCCAGTGTGTGTGTGTGTGTGTGTGTGTGAATCCTCCCAGAGCCAGAGTCAGTGTGTATGAATCCACCCGGAGCCAGAGTGTGTGTGTGTGTGTGTGTGTGTGTGTGTGTGAATCCTCCCAGAGCCAGAGCCAATGTGTGTAAATCCACCCGGAGCCAGAGCCAGTGCGTGTGTATAAATCCACCCAGAGCCAGCGTCAGTGTGTGTGTGTGTGTGTGTGAATCCTCCCAGAGCCAGAGTCAGAACATGTGTGTGTGTGTGTGTGTGTGTGTGTAAATCCACCCAGAGTCAGTGTGTGTGTGTGTGTGTGTGTGTGTGCGCGCTGTGTTCTCTGGAGCAGAGTGGATGGCACATGGGTGAGGATGGAGCCCATCAAGTATTTGACTGGAGTTTTTCTACAGATTTCATCTTCTACCCAGGTAAAGCTGATAATCTCACTCTTAAGACTGTGGTCTCGCTTGACACGGACTCGTTTCCTAGCAGTGTCTTACAGAGGGCCTTCAAGAAGGAGGCTGGTGGGGAGGCTGGTGGGGCACAGCACTGAACGCTGTCTCTCTGTTGCAGCGCACAGGGAGGTCCACTCGCAGCAGGTGAAGGAGCACAGGACGGCCGTTCTGGATTTCATCGAGGACTACTTGAAAAGTACTGCACTCCTCAGAGAGGGCGGGGTGCCGCTCGCCGGCCGGAGGCTGAGCTCTCGCTGCGGGGCAGGAGCCCTGTGCCCGAGCAGCCGTTTTCACTGCTCTCTGTTTTGGGTCTTTTTCTTCTGCAACAGGAGTGTGTAAACTTTACTCAGAACAGAGAGCCATCCGAGTTAAACGAGTGGTGGACAAGAAGAGATTGTAAGTATCGCCTCATGGCTGCTGCTTCCTTAACGCTGCCACTGATAGTGACGACCGGCTAGAGCTCACAGAGCCTTACCCAGGGGTGGGGGGCGTCCCGCCTGCAGGCCACCTGCCACGTGACCTGGTCTGGCCCTCACGAGGCAGTCGCAGGCAGGACTCAAAATTCAGTCCGTCTCTAGCAGGCTGCTGTTGAAGTTGATCATTTTGTATGCCCTGGGAGGGATATTATAAACATCCAAACGCCCTTGGCAGAAGAGGGTCCGCAGCCCTGCCACGCTGTGTGCTGCTGCACCCTGGAACTCCTGCACAGGGTGCCGTCACGAGCGCTGGCCGAGCCCTTCTGGGTGTGGCGCTGGCAGCCCTGAGCATCCTCACTTCGGTGACGGGGACCTGGAGGTCACTCCTCCACGGCCCCACAGCCTAGAGGCCGCTCGGCTCGGGTTGGAGCCCAGGCTGTTGGTCCAAAGTGTGCTCTTGCCTGTTTAGTTTCTTAGTAACACTAGGAGACTGTTACACTTGTAGTCATTTTACCGCAGGCTCTGTGAGTGCCTGCGCCCCTCCTCATCCTCTCTGAAGGAGAAGAGCCGGGGCCCTGCCCTAAGTCACCCCGGTCACTGGCAGCGCATGCCTCCGTGACAGAGCCCTCGCACGTGGCACCGGCTCCGAGTGTGCACCTCCCGTTTTGCACAGGCACCGTTCTGAGCCCCTTTGCAGGTGGGGACACGGCAGCTTCAGCAGGTTGACTCATCCAAGCCCACGCTGCCAGGTTGCGTATTTCGCTGTCCGTGCACCTGTCTCTCGTCTCTTTGGGCTCCACAGAGGCGGTCAGAGTGCAGGCACTCCCACTGCAGCTGCACAGCCTGCCTAGGAGTTGGAGTAACTCCGTGACCCAGTAGTGCTGTGCACAGGCTCCAGATCTTGACCTTTCCTAACTAGCTTCGGAAACAGTCTTTCAGAACTTAACATTATATAACATAAACATTCTTTCAGAACTTAACATTATGTAACGTAAACATTCTTTCAGAACTTAACATTATGTAACTGTTTGGGGACAGATTTTCTCAGTCCTTACCGTGTCAGGGGTCCCCAGCACCACTCTGTGGTTCAGGGATTCAAACGTGGCCGTGACCAGTCACACCGAAAGGCGACAGAGCAAAGCAGCACTGGGACAAAGTTCAGAGGAGACCCGACACAAGCGTCTAAGAGCCTCCTCCCGGTGGAGGCCCACAGCATGTGACTCATGGCACGTGGGGTCCTGTTGACCCCGGGTAAGATGCTGCCCGCCCTGCGGTCTCCCAGGGCCCGGGTGTCTGTCCTTCCACCCCGCCAAGATGCCGCCCGCCCTGCAGTCTCCCAGGGCCCGGGTTGTGGGGAGCAACTCGGACTAGACTAAGTTACTGGAATTAAGACTTATTCTATGCATCTGCTCTCCCACAATATGGCGCTGGGAGAGGAGAAAACAGCTTCTACACAGCTGCCTCCAGTTCAGCCAATAAACTGTAGGACTTGCTCCTGATTGGAGGAGAGCAGCATACTCGGCGTGTGGGCAGCCGAGTTGGGATTGGCAGAGGAGGACTATAAAGGAGGAGAGAGACGGCATGCACCAGGAACATCTAAGGGGAACATCTAAGGGGAACACCTGTGCAGCCCCCGAGAGAGCCGGCCGGCGGTGTGCCGCTCCCCCGCGGAAGTGGGGAAAGTGGCCAGGGGGAACCGCCCTTCCACGGAGGTGGAAGGGACAGTAGCCAACCCGGGAAGAACCAGCAGCAAACCCGGGGAGGGCCGAGCAGACAGAAGAACAGCGCAGGGTCCTGTGTCGTTCCTCCACGAAGAGGGGGAGCGACATAATGGTGCCGTGACTCGGATATGAAGCCTAGGCAGGGTCTTGTGTCGTTCCTCCACGAAGACGGGGAGCGACACGGGTGTCTGTCCTTCCACCCCGGCTAAGATGTACCCCGCCCTGCAGTCTCCCAGGGCCCGGTGTCTGTCCTTCCACCCAGGGTAAGATGCCGCCCGCCCTGCGGTCTCCCAGGGCCCGGGTGTCTGTCCTTCCACCCCGGCTAAGATGTACCCCGCCCTGCAGTCTCCCAGTGCCCGGGTGTCTGTCCTTCCACCCCGGCTAAGATGTACCCCGCCCTGCAGTCTCCCAGGGCCCGGGTGTCTGTCCTTCCACCCCGCCAAGATGCCGCCCGCCCTGCAGTCTCCCAGGGCCCGGGTGTCCATCCTTCCACCCCGGCTAAGACGCCGCCCGCCCTGCGGTCTCCCAGGGCCCGGGTGCGGTGCTGTTTTCTCAGCAGGCTCCCTGCGTGTTGTTTGGCGTCAGGCGTGAAAGGCTCCCAGTCAGCGCGCTGGCTTCCTCCCTGTGCACCCCACCCCATCCTAGAGCGTAGCGCCTCCTCCAGCCAAGCCAGGCTGGGTTCTGGGTTCTTTGTTTCTGTATCACTTCCTTTTGGTTGCTGATGGCTATGGTTAAAACCATTTTGTAGAATTGGTTTGAGAAATTCAGGGCTCACGTTGTTACTGTTACATTTGTTTTTGGTTGTGGTAAGGGAACACCTGTTGGTTAGTTGAAGAGCAGCCTGCACGTTTTCTGTAAACCTCTCAGCAGAACGAGAAAACAAGGTGCCCCGTGCCAGGATGTGCGTTCTCAGAGTGCAGCCAGCGTACCGAAGCCCCTTTTCCAAACCGGGAGAAGTGTCTCGCTGTGAAGTGGGGAGCCTCAGCTGACCTTCCTGCAGGTCCCGCTGTGACCGCGTCCTCACAGCAGTCGTGCCTGCACCGTCTTGCACAGCGCTGCCTTCTCCATCCTCCAGGAAGTCAGGAGGGATGGCGATGGTTCCTGTGTGTCTCTGCTCTTTCTTCTCCCGTGTCTTCCCTCTCAGGCCCCAGTGCTCTGACGAGACCTGTCACAAAGTAGGTGCTCAGGGAATGGCGCATGGCCTCTGGCTCCTGGCTCATCAGGTCTAGAGGGAGCACTTTTAAGTTGAAAAGGTTATGGGCCAGCGTGGGACACAGCATTGCCCAAGTGGCCCTGCCGTCCATGCGGGGTGTGGAGTCTGCCTCCTCCCGAGCACCTTGAAGCAGTAATATTCTGGTCATGATTTGAGTTGAAATAGCCATCAGGTGCCCTTCTGGGTAGACACTCTTAGTTAAAAGCCAACTGAATTAATCAGAAAACATTTTTTTCTTTGCAGAAAGTGTATATATTTGGCATTCTCTTGGGAAAAGGTTTAAATCTGGAGGTCAGGATACTCTTTTCTACTGGATCAGAGGAATTTTTTTCTGACAGCGTGGCAATCCACTGGACAGAAGCCCTGGGACAATCCAGACTTAGAGCATCAGACCTTCCCTCCAAACGGGCGCATTGTCTGCCGTGGCTAACCTTGCCTTAGAACTTGCTGGGTTAACCCGTCATTCAGACACATCACTTTCACTGGTACAGTGATGTTCTTGGAAGGGAAAACCTTTTTTCTTTGTAATTTTTTTTTGATTGATTGATTGATTGATTTGAAAGGCAGAGAAGCAGGGGCTGGTGCTATGGCATCGTAGGCAGCATCCCATTGGGTGCTGGTTCATGTCCCGGCTGCTCCTCTTCTGATCCAGCTCTCTGCTGTGGCCTGGGAGAGCAGTAGAAGATGGCCCAAGTGCTTGGGCCCCTGCACTCACGTAGTAGATCCAGAAGAAGCTCCTGGCTCCTGGCTTTGGATCGGCCCAGCTCCAGCCAGTGAGGCTATCTGGGGAGTGAACCAATGGATGGAAGACTTTTCTCTCTGTTTCTCCTCTCTCTCTCTGTAATTCTACCTCTCAAGTAAATAAATAGAATCTTTTTTTAGAGAAACAGTCTGCTGATTTACTCCCCAGGTGGCTGCAGCAGCCAAGGCTGGGCCAGGCTGAAGCTCGGGGCCAGGACCTCCATCTGGGTCTCCCACTTGAGTAGCAGGGACCCACTTCCTTGGACCATTGTCTGCTCTCTCCCTAAGAGTTAGCAGGAAGCTGGACCGGAAGCACAGCAGCCTGGACTCACACCCGCACTCTGATTGGCATGCTGGCAGCAGCCGCTTCCTCCACTCTACCACAGCGTCCCAGAACAGGAAACTTTATTTCTCTGTCTTGGGATATTTGAGAAAGGTGACATCTGTTAGTCTGGAAGATAATGGTCTGTTCTGATATTGGGTAGGTTATGAGGCAGCCAGATTGAAAGCCTGGATAACTCACAGCACCTTGTGAGTAAATCCGTGTAGCTTGAAGTTAGCATTAGCATAGTCTGTGAACTCCAAGAGATAATAGAAGTGAGCGCTCCCCAGGCGATTCTGAGCAGATCCTGGCAGCCCACGGAAGGTTTGCTGTGAATACAGTTGCCCTGGTCAGATAAGGCGGAGGCACACTGAGTGCTCGTGGTGCCCAGTCTTGATCTTCCCGGTGTCTTCCTCAGGGGAGTGGAGGACTGTCGCGTCCCTCCAGCCAGGGAGGCCTCACTCTTGGCAAGCACGTGTTAGAGAGCGCAGCCTTGACCACTGGCCAGGTACATGATCTTGAGTTTTTGCGTACTCCCTTACGGTTGGCACAGAAGATCAAAATTGTGCTGTGTTTCATTTCTCCCCCTTTAAAACGGATTGGTTGTCTTGTGACACTAGCACCATGTTTATTGGGTGTTTGAAGGGTGTATTCTAATTTTACTATCTGTGATTCAGTCTTCTCACCCCAATTAGATTGTAAGCTTGCTGAGGGCAGAATTATGTCTTTTACCTCTTGGTATCTACAGCTCTTAACCCAGTCTCCTACACATAGTAAGAGCTTAATAAAATTCACCAGTAATCAGGGCTGATGATAATAGTGTGCTGGTGAAGATGAGAAACCAAAGAGAAGCTGTGCTCCGTGCCAGTGGGTCCACACCAGTGATTTGTCTCCCTCTAACCAAGCGCAGGAGTTGTATTGCTTAGAATATGGTGAACAAACTGCAGACTGGGGCCAAACCCAGCCTTGGCCTGTCTGAGCTA